CACTCCCCCCTCTGGCCTGGTCATCCCTTACTGCCCCCTCTGCTGGCCTGGTCGCCCCTAACTTCTCTTTCAGGCAGACTGTCGCCCCTCATCGCACCCCCGCCAGCTTAATTGTCCCCAACTGCCCGCTCCATGTCGGCCTGGTCACTCCTAACTGCCCCTCCCCCGGCAGCCTGGTTGCCCCCAGCTGCCTCCTCTGCCAGCCTGGTCACCCCCAACTACCCCTCCTGCCAGCCTAGTCACCAACTGCCCACCCTGTTGGCCTGGTTGCCCCTCACGGCCCCCCTGCTGGCCTGGTCACCCCACACAGCCTGCTGTTCAGTCGTTTGGTCATCCCTCACTAACCTCCCTACTGACCTGGTCATAGGCAGCCATCTTGTGAGTGTTAATTTGCATATTAGCTCTTTATTATATAGGATATGCATAACCCATGGACACAGACAATAGGGTGGTGAAGGCCGGGGTGGGGTGGGATCTGGGTGGAGGGGGGCAATGAAAGGAAAAAAGAGGGGGACATCTGTAATACTTTCAACAATAAAGATTTTTTAAAACTGTATCACTGTTAGGAGCTAATTTAACACATGCCTTTCTTAGATGACTGCTAATAAAACTATCTGCCAGATTGTCTTTTTCATTTTAACACTAAAAGGCAGTTCAGGTTAAGGTTTTAAAAAGTATCAATTTAATACTGCATATTTAGAAATATGGTACAGACAGACACCATAGTCATATAAAATGCATACAATTTTGAATTACTTTCTTATGAACTGTTAACATGGATGGCTGACAGTTTCTAATAGATAAAATTTTGGACAAAATTACCAGACATTTTAAAGGGGTTCATTTTAAATACCATTTAGTCATGCAGACAAATAGAGGTTTTTATAAAAATAAATATGACAAATATGTGGATTTCTAAGTATAAATTGACATACAAATCTATATCTTTTCATAATGCTTTTCATTGAAATATCTTTAAAGCATTCTGTAACATGAAGTTGAAACCTCAAATTAGATGTAATGAAAGCCATGGTTTTATTAAAATTGTGCAAGTCACATACCAAATATTTACATAAAAGTAAACACAAAATTGCAAACATATTTTTGTCCTACAAGCCATCAACCTCATAAAATTACTTACTGAAATAACTGTGAGATAAAATTCCCAATTTTGAATGTTCATAAGCAAACACATATAGGAACAATATATGAAAAACTTTATTTTTCCTTCTGAGAAGCAGTGAAGGATTAACAAACTACCCCTTGGGGATTGTCAAAGCTTTCCTAGAACTCAAGGGGAGTAGATTCTTTTGTAAAACAGAACTAAAATTACATCCTTCACCAGCACACAAACCTTTTATAAATTTTCTTTTCCAAACTCATATATGCTCACAACTCTGAATCACAGGTTAGTGAACTGGGCTAAAATGTCCCTACCCTTTAAAAGGGCAGCTCTAAAGCAGAAAAAACACATTCCCTTTTTCTGACCTAAACAGCTTGAATAAATTTGTATTATGAATAAAAAGATAAGAAATAATCACCTTACACATAAGTAAACTTGATGGAACTTAGATGGAATAAATACAGCAAGTACTCAAGAATCACTTTGTTCAATACCATTTTGATGTTATGTTGATGAGGAAAAAAAAAATCAATTCCCAGCTTGGGCCATGTCTGTGTGGAATTTGTATGTTCTCCCATGTCTGCCTGGGTTTTCTCCAGATACTCAATATCCTCCCACTTCCGTTTTGCACGTGAGGTTAATTGGAGTGTCTACATAGTCCCAGTCTGGTTGAGTGTGGGGTGGGTGTGTAGTGTTTCCTGTGATGGGAGGGCATTCTGTCCAGGATGGGTGCCTGCCTTGTGCTCTGAGCTGCTGGGAACAGCTCCAGCCTTCCTTGACATTGAACTGGTATAAATGGGTTGGAAACTAATTCTCTTACTTATTTTTATTAATCTTTCCTAAATGTATGTATAACTCATTTATTTCAATGTTTATTATCAGGAGTTTTGGGTCTTTATTTAGAAGTTTGGTGAGGTTTTCATGACTGGAAATATGCTGTAGAAAAGTAACTTATTTATATCAATTAGCCTGTGGCAAAACTGGTTTCATCATATGTTGTTTCACTGAAAGTAGCAGTTTCCAAGAAGCTACTGATGACATTATGTGAAGACATATTGTACTAGTTATCAGAAGAGCGTATTTCTTAATGGAACTTAAAACATCAAAACTTAATTGGAGAGCATGGCCAGCATGTCTCAGTGGTTGAGCCTCGACCTATAAATAAGAAGGTTGGGGTTCAATTCCAGGTCAAGGCACATGCCTGGGTGGTGGGCTTGATTCCCAGTGGGGGGTGGGTAGTAGGCAGCTGAACAATGTTTCTCTCTCATCATGGATGTTTCTCTCTCCCCCTTCTTTTCTGAAATCAATAAAAATATATATTTTTAAAAAACTTTAATTGGGTTATATTACTTATTTAAAAAGTTAATACAGAAGAGATAATAGGATTTTAAAAATTAAGTTAGATCAGTGGTCTTTAACGCTGACCACAACTTAGAATAACTCGGGGAACTTTTAGAAAAACTTAATAGCGCCCACCCTAAAAAATTCAGATTTAACTGTTGTGGGTAGATTCATATTAAGAGCCCTGTAGATGATTGTAATATAAAGTGAGGGTTGCAAAACATTGATTTGGAAAAATTACTAATTTCAGGTTGAATCTGATTTAAATAAATTATTTAAAATTCAAATATATGAGCACTTCGTACATGGTAGGCACTGTTCTAAGAGTTAGTAAAGAGGAAATTCTTTTTTCTACAAAAATCATTGGATAACAATATATCTTTTATCTTTTGAATGTTATATAATTTTACTAAAATATTGCTCAAAGCTTTTATTATGGTCTGCTGTCATGAAACATTTGCTTCTACTTTTCTAAACTATACTCACTTGCTACTATACCCAAAGAGATCAAACCCAGAAGCTTTTTTTTCAAGATATGTAGAAAGAAGATAAGAATAACACAGATTTCCTTTTTTCAAGTCATAGCATATGAGGTATTCTCACTATATATCTGGAGTCACAAAGCCATAATTTAAAAACTGAAATTAGGTATTTAATGAATAACAGAATCTCCTTTATCAAGAATGAACTACCATTAGTGTCAGTGCTTGCTTTACATTGCCTAAAAAGTAATCCAGGAGAGAGCCTCAGGGAACCTAGTACAAGTGTGTCCTTAATACATACCATATTTCTTGTGACCTATTTATAAAACATTTCTTTTAAAAAGTTACAGGGATATGGTTTTTGAAACAATATGCAATTACACATGTTATCTCAAAAAAAGGAAGACAAAAACAATATATAGTTTTTCAAATACTTCATAATTAGAATTTGCTACTATCCCAGGATGTTAGCATTAACATTTTAAGTCAACACCAACTTTATTAAGTATTACGAAATTCATTTGAAATGCATTTAAGTCAAGAAAAATATTAGATTTAAATTAATAAATTTGCTTTGTATTTACTCTTTTAACAGTTTTCAGGTTCAAATATGCTAAAACCAAATGATCAATTTATTAATTCAATTATTGGCTAATTATCTTTTAGAGCTGGACATCAGGCCAAAATGATGAAATTTTGGTTAAAGTGTAATACATGCACACATAGGAAAATGCAATAGCAATTTGTTTTCCATACTTAATAGAATTAAAACAGCTTTAAAAATTTCATGAAAGCTCAGTAGTCAAAATAAATATTTAATAAAAATACACACCATAACACGATATTAAGAACTTAGTGTTTAAAAATAAACATCACATTGTTCGCCTTCAGTTAAACAGAACTCAATTTAGTTGCTTAAGAAATCTAAGAATAATTGAGTTTTTAGAAACAAAATTAAAATTTAAATAACACTAGAGAGATAATACATCTTAAGATGAAAGAGAAACTTACCATGTTTTAAATCAAAAGTTTAAATAAAGTTATAGTTTTTGAGACTTCTTAGTATGACTATGACCCTAAGAAATATGAATAGTTTGGGGAATATAAGTCAAAGATAATCATGATTATGTGGTTCATGCTGTGAAATTCTCAGTATGTTAAGAAAATAAATACAGTATATATGATTTACAGGCAAAGTCCCTTGGTTAAACAGAAAAGTCACTAAAGAAAAAATAAGTGTTCAATAAGTGTTTTCAATTCATAGACAAATTTCAACAGGTGAAGGAAAAATAAATTCAGTAATAAATGGGAATTCACAGAATGAAATAGCATATTGGATTTGCCCCCAAAGGATTATCATTCAGGCCTCAGACTATTTTTAATTGATAGTAGTCATGATTATTCTGCTGGAAGAATCATCCTTCTATAATAAAAGGTACAAATTAGCTACATGTAATTTAGTATTTCAGCTATATTCACCAAAACTCAGAAAACTATGTGGTATCTTAGAATACATAATCTGGTGTAAGGTAGGTGTTTAAAAATCTTATTTTGATCCTACATAGAGGCAGCTCATGATTCTGTTATGAATCCTTGCTATTTTTCAAAGTTGCCATAAGCAATCAATTGATATAGTCTGAAGTTGTTTGAAACCACTGTCACATAATAAAGAGTAATGCTATTCACCATTTAAAATACGTTCAATCTCTTCTAGTCTTTTTAAAGCAGCAACTCTTTTCTTCTCAATTTCTTTTATTTCTTTTGTTGTTTTGTGAGGGGTCTCACTGTCTGTATCTTTTCCTAACTGCTTGTTGGCTTTAGATGAACTTTTATTATCACTTGTTTTGATTACCTGTGTGGGTCGGGGTTCACTTCTTATTTCTTTTGCATTTTCAGTTGGAACTTTGTTTCCTGAAGTCTTACTAACTGGGAATATTGGTTGTTCTATTAAACTAGATGCGGAAATTTTATCCCTGACTATATTCAAATGGCGCTGGATATATTCTTCATGTGGTGCTAATGCCAATGTTTCAAGCAGACATCTTTCAGCTTTTAGTAAGTCTTTCTCTTCAAAATAAACAACACAAAGATTGTGCTTTCCCTGCACATTCCTTGGATCCATCTCCAAAATCTTTTCGAAACATTTTTTTGCTCCAAGTATATCTTTCTTTTGATTCATCAGAATGTCTCCCTTTAAAATGAGACCCTTGATATGATCAGGATAGTATTTGAGTAACTCTTCTAAAACTGGCAAAGCCAGTAATTCTTTTGCAGTCTGAGAATACAGCAGAGCCAGATTAAACAAAGCACTTCTGAAGTCAGGTTGTAATTTTATGGCTTTCTTCATCCACATCTCTGCTTCAGAGTCCTTTTTGTCATCCATGGCAAGCATTCCCAGATTGAAATAACCATTAGCATCTTGTGGCTCTTCATTAATATAACTTAAAAGTCGTTTTCTAGCTTCAGGTCTGAGCTTAACCTCACCTATGAGTAATTTAAAAAAAACAACAACACAAAAACATTATATTGTTAGCAAATAAATTTAATCTTGAGGAAAAAAGCCACTTTCATATTTTATCTAGTTAGATTACAAAAAGAGAGCATCAAAACAACTAATTGCTGTACCTAAATCAAAAGCAGAGAGGGAAATCTTAGTCTTCATAGGAAAGAGAGAGTGTGTTTGACACTGAAATGCTCGCAAAATATCTCCTTACAGTTTAGAAGCTAACTGGGAATAGCAGAGAAAGAATAGAGAATTAAAAGAGGCATGCGATTTGCCAACAGACATGCAATCAATCTTGATTCTGTTAACATTGTGACTTTATACATTGAACAAGATATAGGACTTCTCTGGGTTCACTTACGAATTTTCTTGGAACTACATGAGATGCACGTAAAAATGCTTAGTAAACATTAACTATTATTGGGTAACAAAATGTTTCTGTTTTATTAAGATTTTTGTATGTTATTTCAAATTTTTTAGGATGTTTCAAAGGTAAAAATATACCATAAGTATAGTTTATAAATACATATTTGGATTTAATAAACAAATATTTATTGAGATAAATTTATTGTAAGTAAATACAAATGAATTCAAGGTCTACAACTATAAAACTTAAGGTACAAACTTGTGTTGGATAATGGGCCCTTTCATGATTACTAAAGTTAGCTAACTTCCCCTTAACCGGTTTGGCTCAGTGGATAGAGCTTCAGCCTGTGGACTGAAGGGTCCCAGGTTCGATTCCGGTTAAGGGCATGTACCTTGGTTGCGAGCATATCCTCAGTAGGGGGTGTGCAGGAGGCAGCTAATTGATGTTTCTCTCTCATCGATGTTTCTTTCTATCCCTCTCCCTTCCTCTCTGTAAAAAAATCCATAAAATGATAAATAAATAAATAAAGTTAGCTAACTTCACAAAAATATTAGCTCTTCTCTAAATTTATACTTTTTTGAATACCAGGCTAAAGCCCTCTTCTATTCTTTTATTTGACAATATGGTAAATAAAGAAAACTTGAAAATAAATCAGTAGGCTTAAGTTCCTATCTTGGACTAATTACTACAGGCAATATAAAGTTGGGGTAGTTATTATATATATTTGGTCCTCACTTTCTAATCCACTTTATAGAAGATTGGTAAAAGTAAACTTGCAAATCTTCTTGCTCTAAAATAATATGATTTTATGATTCATTCATTTTTTTGTAAAAGTTTTAAAAAGAATTGACTTAATATGTAACTCTATTTTCCAAATATAGAAGATTATAAATCATAGTTTTCTTAGTACTAAAATCCCCATATATAAAAAAATCCTGATTTATTATAATTCATAAGTTAGTTTTGCTAAATCATAGAAATTATAGGAAATTACAATATTTCAAAAATAGTAAAACTGGATATAAAATAATACCAAAAGTATTTGGTCTTATAAATCAAGAGAAGATAGAATATTTTTTCCTAAAACATACAATGCTATTAGCTTCCTAGAAATAATTATGTAAAAATTTTTACAAATTCAGATTATTTGAGCAATATATATATATGAGATTATATTTTCGTGCATAAAGTGACAGGATTAATAAGACATTGCTTAAGAGATTACCTAAAAACTCAGTCTTAACATATATATACCAGAAGAACAATTAGACTTGTCATATATGTAAGTGTATATTCCTTGAGAAGTTTACTTTAAGTATATTAAAAATTCTACTTATAAATCATTTATACAATTTTGATACAAACTATCCATTCACAAAATGTTTGCTACAGGCAATATATTTTAAGTTAAGATTTTATTATATTTCTAATTACAACGTGTTTAAATGCAGAACTATTTTGAGAAAACATACCTGATTCTTGCATTAATATACCAGAATTGAATAATGCTAGCTTATGTTTTGGATTTAGTTCTAAAGCACGATTAAAGTTTTTAAGAGCTTCATTTGGTTCTTTAAGTTCAATCTGAACAATCGCCAAGTTGTACCAAAGATCTGCATTATTTCTGTCCAACTCTAGTGCTTTAAGATATGCTTCTTTTGCTTTGAAAGGTTTATTCATTTTTAAAAGCAATTCTCCTCTGTGGAAAAACAAGCACAAGCTTTAGTTACAATATTACCATGTCGGTTGGTAGATACTATTTTTCACACATTTTAAGATTTTCCATATATTCACAGCTTTCTTTTTCCCTTTTAACTAAGGTTCTTAAAGTTTTCTTCCAAAATGATCGACTAGCCAAAGTAATACTGAGAAAAAGAACAAAGCCAGAGGTATCACACTCTCTGATTTAAAACTATACTACAAAGCCACAGTAGTCAAAAACATTACACGGAGCTGGCAGAAACGGAATTGACAGTCTAGAAATAAACCATACATATATGGATAACTAATTTTCAACAAAGGAACCAAGAATATACAATGGAGAAAGGAAAGTCTCTTCAATAAATGGTATTGCGAGAATTGAAGAGCCATATGCAAAAGAATGAAACTAGATTACTATCTTACATCATAAACAAAAGTTGACTCAAAATGGATTAAAGACTTGAATGTAAGCCCTGAAACAACAAAATACATAGAAGAAAATATAGGCGCTAAACTTATGGACCTTGGTGTCAGAAGGTTTGTGAACTAGACCCTAAACTTAAGGAAAGTAAAAGCAAAAATAAAGGAATGAATCTACTACAAACTAAAAAGCTTCTGCACAGCAAAAGAAAAATAACCCAAAATAAATATCAACAAAACAAAAAGGCAACCAACTGAATGGGAGAAGGTATTTGCAAACAACATTTCCAAAAGAGGCTAACATCCAATATATATAAAGAACTTACACAACTTAACAAAAAACGATCCTACTAATAAATGAACTAGCTATACAGATGGCCAACGGATGTATGAAAAGCTATTCAACATCACTAGTTATTAGGGAAAGGCAAATCAAAACATCACTGAGATACCACCTCAACACCTGTTATAATGGCTATTATAAAAAGACAAGAAATAACAAGCGTTGGAGAGGTGGGAAGAAAAGGGAAACCTTATAGACTGTGGGAATGTAAATTAGTGCAGCCATATGGAAACCAGTATGGCAGTTTTTCAAAAAATTAAGACTAGAACTACTATATAATCCAGGAATTCCTCTTCTGGATATTTACCCGAAAAATATGAAAAAACTTACCATAAAGATATCTACATCTCTATTTACAATAGCCAAGACATGAAAACAATCTATGTATATATATTACTCATCCATAAAAAGTAACAAATATTGCATTTGTTAAGACATGGATGAATCTTGAAAGTATTATGCCAAATAAAATAAGTCAGATGTATGATTTCACTCATACATAGAATTAAAACAAAAAGCAATAAACAAATAACAATACAGAAAAAACTCACAGATACAGCCAACAGGATGGTGGTTGCTAGAGGGGGAAGAGGTTGTTGGGGGGAAGGGCGAAGTGGGTAAAGGGGGTTAAATATATAGGGATGGAAGGAAACTAAACTTTGAGTGGGAAACCACACAATGGAGTACATAGATGTCAAATTATAATCTTGTATACCTGAAAATTATATAATGTTATTAACCAATGTTATCCCAATAAGTTTAATAATAATAATAATAATAATAACAACAACAACAGTAAAAAACAAACAACTTTTGGAAACTGTCCTCAAACATGAAGTCATAGCTTTGGCAAAGCTATGACTTGATATATTTTCAAATATTATTTAAAAACAAAAGCATGCCTGACTTTAGAGAGTAAGATGTGGGGAGGTATTCACAGAAAAATATATTCTTTGAATATAACTTGAAAGGAAGCAGACTAGATTATTTCAGAAAAATAATAGCTACCAGAGTGAGAGATAATCTGTCAGAAAACCAGGTGATAGTATTTTAAGAAAGAAAAGAAAAACGTAGTGATAGGGCATTTTAATATATGTCTTACTCTCCAAAAAGTAGAGCATTAGAAAAATTTTAACACTTATCTTCTACATATCCTTTAAACATTTTTTATTTTATTGATTTTTTTTTTTTTAGAGAGGAAAGGGGAGGGAGGAAGGAAGGGAGAGGGAGGGAGAGAAACATGGATGTGAGAGAGAAACATAGATCAGCTGCCTCCCGCATGGGCCTGACCAGGGCATCGAATGTGCTACCTTTTGGTATAGAGCAGTGGTTCTCAACCTTCCTAATACCGTGACCCTTTAATACAGTTCCTCATGTTGTGGTGACCCACAACCATAAAATTATTTTCGTTGCTACTTCATAACTGTAATTTTACTACTGTTATGAATCGTAATGTAAATATCTGATATGCAGGATGTATTTTCATTGTTACAAATTGAACATAATTAAAGCATAGTGATTAATCACAAAAACAATAGGTAATTATATATGTGTTTTCCAATGGTCTTAGGCGACCTGTGAAAAGGGCATTCAACCCCCAAAGGGGTTGCGACCCACAGGTTGAGAACTGCTGGTGTAGGGGATGACACTCCAACCAAGTGAGCCACACAGGCCTGGGTCAGTGTATTCTTATGAAATGACCATTGATTGGGGGTTGGGGGATGGGGGTAAAGGGAGCTGGGGGAGAATTAAAAAAGCTGATCTGGAAGGGGCGTTGGTGCCACCTGCAGATACCTTTGAGAAATATTGCTGGAACTGAGGATCACAATTTGAAAACTATTTTATAAATCTTTCTAATATGGTTCTATTTCCTGTTAGAGAGTTTAAAACATCATTTTTATTAAGTACATATATGAAAATCAATTTAAGTATGGATGTATTATAATATTCTTTCCTAAAGTATCAGCATAGGAATGAAATCAAATGAATGACTATTAGTATTCTTTTTTTGTTGTTGTTAGAACTCAGCAAAATAATATTCCCATTTATTTTTGGAAATATTGTTTCACACATATATCAAATGGGCAAAAAAATAAAAATAAACAGCAACTTCATAAACAAAAAAAATGGAAAAAAAGAAACCTTTTTATCTTTGGCCTTTTTAATCATTTCATACAAACCGACTACTTATAGTATAGTAAGTACATACACAAAAAGTTACTGGAATGCTTGGAATAATATTTTTTGTTGTTGTCATTCTTGATTTTTGCCAGTTTTTTTTCCTATTAATAATCTTTATTAGGGACATTTTAGATGAGTGTTTTTCTAAAATGTTATCTTTTTAAGTTGAGACTGTTAAATAATTCTTTATGTATTAACACAATAAAGGTTTTATTTACAGATGCAACCCCACTAAACCTAGAGAATTTCAAAAAGCACTGAATAAGGCTGAACAACAATGGCTCCCTAATAATTTCAAAATCAAAAACTTATTAAATTCTAAATGCATTTTCCACATAGAAACAATGTCATAAATTATGCGTAGGTTAATATGTGATACCAAAAACTTATTTTTAATGACAACTAAATAGTTTCTTTGTGGTAAAGGCATTAATAACCAGTCAACTCTCAGCATTTATTTAAGAAAGCTCTGAGAGTTAGATATTAAAAGTACAATTATAAAATGTAAGTTTTAGGTGTTTTACATAAAATAAATTTGGTGATAAGAAGCAAATGAAACTAAGGAGCTACTTTCACATAAAACCTAAAGTTTGCTATTATAAGTTATGGACTCCCCTGTCAATTTCAAATCAAATGAATTTAATTTTGATTGCTAGTCCAAAATGGGCTATGTTTCTATGTTAGTTGCAACTAAGATTGTGAAGGGGGAAAAAGCTAATCTAGTCAAAATAGTCAAAGTGTAACATGCAGATAGATGCAGCTTCAATTTTCTATAACAACAGCTTAACATGAACTATAATACCTGCTAATGTAAGCCTGTTTGAAGTCGGGCCTCATGCTTATCGCTTGTCGATACAGCTGATCAGCTTCTTCTAGCCGGGACTCATCTGCTCGGATCAGGTTGGCCAGATTAATATAAACGTTTAGGTGGTTAGGGGCAATTCTGGCTGCATATTTTTTACCAGGAATAATCTGTTCAAAAGAAAAGGCATTTCCTTAAGTTGATATTTCATTACCAAATAAAAGTCAAAAGTAAGTAAGCCTAGTAGCTTATTTAAAATATACACAGAATGTAAAAAGATAATGCTATTAGTTTTACTGCTACTATATTAAAATAAGTCATAAAAATGTGAAAGCATCTATAGTCAGAGCATGTAAAATAATATCTTCTTGCACTAAAGAATGTATTTTTTTCATTCATGCCAACTTAAGAGAATGAAGTCATATAAATCAGAACTTTTACAGGTTAAGGTATCAGTATGTTTATGTCAGACCAGAAATAGAATTTAAGACTCTTTTCTCTGTCTAGTGTATTTGTTAAACCATGTCAACTTTCATGTTGTTAGCAAAATATTTATTTACTGGTTGTGACAATAAGGTAGTTAATTACATTTCATAGTTATACTAAAACCTCGCTTGTCTGGTGGAGTTAAATTGTCTTATTGATTATTCATGTTCAATAAACATTATCATAAATAATATATGGACCCAAATTTTCAAGGAGCAGAAGAATTATATCTGATAAAATTCCACATTGAACACAATTTAACTTTAGAATCTTAGGAATGAATTCTCAAGGTATTATCAAACTAACCATTCATTTTAATATTACTACTATTAATATAATATTAATACATACTAAAATCAAGAAAACTGTAGCCAGGGTATAAACCATCTTATCTGATGATGCATAGTTAGGTCAAAGGCAGGATCAGATTTTCCAAAATATCAAGAGAATCTTATATCATTGTAACAACTAATGGACACAATATAGCAACAGAGATGTATCCATTTGTTTTATTCATTTATTTTTTTGGTAAGACTAATGCTAAATTTAGTGCTTAATGTACATACATACAATTTTCTTCACCTAAAGTAATTTAACTCACTGATAACTTGTAATAAAAAATATCAAAAATTCATTAACTATGAATTTAGTTTTTATAGACTATGTGAAAATTTTTTTAAATTGAGCTAGAAAAGTAAGTTTATTCCTCTATTATACTTATACTAAATAGATGGTTCATTGGACACCTTACTTTTATACCAATATTGACGGAAAGATAAGAATTTTCTAGATAATTTTATTCAATATGGATATTTAATAGACATGACACAACAGGAATAAATGATAACTTACTTGAGGCATCAGTGACTTGGCTGTCATATAAGATTCTTCAGCTTCTTTGGTTCTATTTAAATTTTTATAAGTTCTTCCTACATTCATGTGGGCACCAATATCATCTAAAATTTTAAAGAAATTATTTGTTGACAAATATGCGAAATAGAATTCAATGTAAACTACTAAGAGGACATGTTTCTTGCAACAAAAACAATAGTAAAAAATGCAAAAGCAGGCATTCCTCCTCAAAGTTCTAATACAACTTGTTATGATTTATGATCAATGTAGCAAACTATTAAATAAAGTACTGTAAAGACAGAAAATACACATATAACATGAAAAAACTATCTGAATGTACCGCTGATGGATTTCGACATGAGAAGAAAGAAAAAGAGGCAATGAAGAAATGCACATCATTTTTCTTCACTGTATTTTAACATACTATACTAAGGCTTGCTTCCATTTCCTAAGCTCAGAGCTTTGGCATTTACTCAAAAAGTGTGGCTCAACTAACTCTAAAAGTAAAAAAGGATATACAAGTAAAAAGGATCATCATAATCTCTAGAATTATTTTCAGTGTTATATCTAACAAATATGCCATAGTGGGATAGGGGCAAAGAGATATGAAAACACTTTGTGACTTTGTTTTATAAAATGTTTGTGAAATGTGGTTGGAATGCAAGTATAATGGAATGTTAGTATTATATAATACTACTTAATATGCAGCAGCCCATCTCTCTTAAATAATAAATTCCTATATAATTTATTTAAAACTTTTTGAAAGTTTTAAATATCAGAATGTCAGAAAATTTTGTCTCATTTTCTGATGCAGAAAATTGAATCCTCAGCAAATTTATTCAGGCGTAGAAAAACGTGCAAATATAATAAAAAAGATATGAGAGTTTAAGATACATTTCCCAGTTAATATTTCAAAGGTCTGGAATAAAGACAGAAAGAAGGGAGATTTTAAATCAGACAAATTTTAGCCAACATGAATCTCTAACAGACACGACAAGGTTTCAAATTGTGATTACTACTTGCCTGTGACACCGATGATTTTGCAATTGTGGAATAGGTCTCTGCCTGCAACTCCCAGGACACATAGGGGCCAAGCATATATATCTTAGGCATTCCCCTAGGAGGAGAGTAACAGTCCTAAGATCTTATTACATTATGTTTCAGGCTGGCAATTGTGTGCACCGCACCAAAATGGTCAGGTGCAGTACAGGTTTGATTAGAGAACTAGGGGACAAGATTGGGAAGGAGGTTGATTTTAGTTTTTAGATGTATTACTGAATCTTATGGGATCTCAGGAGGCGGGGGTAAAAAAAAATGCTTAGGCCAAACATTCCCAATCCTGCTTTTAAAAATTTTATCTTAGCCCCACACAGCTCTATCCAAATAGAATCTTCAGGAATAGAATCTGCAGAAATGTTTTTAAAACGTTTAAAAGGCAATTTTGATGTAGAGCCAAGGTTGAAATTCACTGCATTACCAAGTGCACATAAAATAGGTAGTCTTTGCTTCTAGGTAGCTCAATTTTTTTAAACATTAGATAAACTTACGCCATTTACTACAGAGATCAGAAATGTAGTTAGGCAAAACTAAAAATATGTAAAACCTGAAAAAAATTAGTGTAAATAAAAATGTAATTGTCAGCTAAGTATTTAAAATGTTACTGAAATCAGTTCTAACCAGTCTTTAAAAAAGCTTATCTATTTGGATGAAAAACTAGGAAAATCGCTACCCACTAGAATCAGATCTCAGAATTATGGAGAGCAGATATTGTCATCAATGAGTATTTCAGACACTAGAGTAAGCAGCCCCACTTTCTCAAAGAACAAATGATAGCAATTAGATAGCCTTTAGCATCAAAAGGATTACCCAATACAGCTAATAAAATGACAGACATAAGTTACAAAGTTTTAGGATTACAGAGGAAGAAATAGCATTACTGGTAAGACACATTTAAATTCGGGGGGGGGGGGAGGTAAGAAAAGCAAGCAAGATGTAAAATTTGGTGACATTTAAATGACTAAAAAGCTATAAAATTTCAAAGAACAATCTTGCGATTAGGAGTGCACTATCCAGCAACAGCAGCAGTCTGTCTTTAATTCAATGTAAAGGAGGAATGGCAAGTGTCAGGCAGCTCAGTGACTAACAGCCACGTACAATGAAGGTGAGTATTCCCACACTGAGGGTGAGGCATCTGTGTTGCTTCCCAGTATTTCCTATTCGAATCTTGTCTGTCAATGCATTTATAAAGGTAAATTATAAGCATATGGAAACTCCGAAAAACTCTTTAAAAGTCATTTATTTCCATCTTGATGGCATCCAAGTTGAATAACAGGTCCATGATTCTTTTCTAATATAAACAATTTTAAAGATTTGGACTTAGATAAAAAATGAAATTATTGATTTTACGGTAAAAACAAACCTTGAAGAATTCTGGTGGTTCTTGAGAAATATCTATCCTTGTCATGTAATGGTGTTTATGGAAACTGTAATTCCAACTGCAAAACTTTTATCCTTGCAATACTTTTATCTTTTTTAAACACTTGTAACCAGCAAAACAAAACAAAAAAAATGCAAACAGTTGTTCATTTAACATGATATGCATATCTCATGGCCCAAGTCTATTGTATAGTTTATATTCTCATTCTGGCTAAGAAAGAAAAGCCTTTAGACCAGCGGTTCTCAACCTGTGGGTCGCCTAAGACCATCCTGCTTATCAGATATTTACATTACGATTCATTACAGTAGCAACGAAAATAATTTTATGGTTGGGTCACAACATGAGGAACTGTATTTAAAGGGCCAGAAGGTTGAGAACCACTGCTT